ATGGAACGACACGTTGAGGGGAAACAGTAGTGCAAAAAGGACTCTCCCCCGTCGCCAAACTGCGCCGACATTGGTTCTAGGAAGTCCAATCATGTGCGGCAGGATCGGAACACTACCAGTGCGTGAGAAGGAAGTGACAACTGATAAGAGTGATAAGGGCCGTCCAGCACAAGGAAGCGCCACAAAATTTATTTTTCACTTCAAATTCACCCTTTTTCAAACCAAATTCACCCTCACTTTTCACATCGAATTAACCACACTTATCAGGGCGGGCAACTCACCAACAGATCACGCCAGACATCACTGCGAGCCCCGCCCCGACGGCCACGCCTACTTGTCAGCGCGGACATAGATTCTCAAATCTTGTTTCATAACTTCTGCTTTTGCTGTTTCCCACAAACACACTTGATTGGAAGCGCGAACACGGGCACAAGCCGACTCAGCCCATTCTCTCAAGGGTTAGGCAATCTTGGCTGACCACGCCAACTTGCTTTTCGTGTGCTTTCGATATTTTTTCAAATATTTGGCATTTTAGGGCTGCGCGTGAATCCCGCCCACCACTGTGAGAGCCTCCGCCCACTTTGAATAGTCCCGCCTACTTTTCAAATTGGTGCAAATTGGTGTCGGCCATGTGTCAATGCCCGGTCGTTTCCAGTCAAAGTGTTTGTGGGAAACAGCAAAAGCAGAAGTTATGAAACAAGATTTGAGAATCTATGTCCGCGCTGACAAGTGGGCGTGGCCGTCGGGGCGGGGCTCGCAGTGATGTCTGGCGTGATCTGGTTGATGAGTTGCCCGCCCTAATAAGTGTGGTTAATTTGATGTGAAAAGTGAGGGTGAATTTGGTTTGAAAAGGGGTGAATTTGGTTTGAAAAAGGGTGAATTTAAAGTGAAAATGGTATATTTCGCGCATCACAGCAACATGTTCCCGAACGGAATTTAGGCGCGTGTGGGAACATCGACTACGAATGAAAGGAAGTGATACATTAGGAGCTGATGAGAGGCACTGGAACGGGAGCGCCTGAAATTCATATGGTGCGCCATAGCAGCACAACGGTGTTTGGTTCTAGATGAAGTTAAGATCTGTGGGACATTGATGATGGGCAATAGCTTGAGATATAGTGACCGATAAAGGCTGATAAGGGTCGGTTTCTGCTTCGCTCCCTCACATTTCAATAACCAGCACAATGACTCAACTATCAAAAGGAAATGGCTCAGCGAGTGATTACATTTCGTTCCCATTTACTTCTGCTATGAATGTACTACTATGCAAAGACATTGTATTCTCATTTCGAAGCTGTTACCAGGGGAAGGTTTTCGACAGGTAAACCAATGCCCGCAGGTCTAACGTCTTCGGTAAAGTGTTAGGGGTCAGGCAGAGGTGCACTGCAATGTACTCATCAGTGCAATGCAATGTACTCATCAGTTCCACAAACCAACCATAAGATGTGCGCAGTGCCTAAGATTCAAACCCGTGATTTTTGCGCGGGTTTACAAAGGCGTCGTGTTCCCTAGGTTCTAGGTTCCCAAAGGACTTCTATTGGGGATCCTCACTGCCTAGACCTTCCTTCTTTTTCAGTAACTTCTCTAACCCTCTGCTTTTCAGTTCCTTCAGTCTACAAGCAAATTTCATTCGCCTCGTCGTTGCGCACATATTTGCATTTAGTTTCGTAGGGAAAATCGGTCACCATTCATTCAAGGATGCTGATTAGGTTTAGAACGGGGCATTTTTTCCAAGGCGACGCGAATCGTTCGAAGAATAACTTTTTTTCCCTTGAACGACAACATAATTCATTCCCATAGGATGCCTCTTGTCGAGCGGCATTAGTTGATCTAGTATTCTTGCGAGACTCACGGAAAGAGCCAGAGTTTGTGGTAATGAATCGTGATTGGAGCGATGACTTTTGTGAAAGGAAAGGGAGAGAGCTCTGTGAAATTTGTTGTTGAAAAATTCTACCAGTGAAGCGATAATCGAGCATGGTGCAAAAAAGCAAGATCATGTGTCACGTCGCTCATGTATCATGTATTAACTGTCACTTCACAGTAAGCTAAATCTTACAGCAGCTTCCTGTCATAGAGTTTTTGAAGCCCCTCGACGACTTTCAAAAATACGCTCTTACGCTCTATCAAAAGTGGATAGGTGGAAATAAATACTTTTTACAGGCATGCTTGTCAGTAAAATGGGACGGAAAAGTGCGCGATTATCCAGTGCATTATATGTCACGCAATAACGAACGCTTCTTCACGCTGGATGGTACAGTTCAAAGCAGTGATGTCATGCAACTTGTAAAGTACGTCACGAACCTTCCAGCTTCTGATCAATACAAAGTTCCATATGGAATTTATGGTATATATTACATTACAATAAATCTCCATGGAATAAAATGCTGTATGATATATTTAAAGGCAGCCACGTTCACTTGATGTTCCTACGCCCTTTCTGGATATCATAGCCCTCCCCATAAGGATGCAGTATGTACTAGTTTTGCATCTCACAAAGGCGAGAGGATAGCGCCTATCGCTAGTAAAGAGTCGACCGCC